GCCTATTATAGGCCTTGAAAAAATATTCTTTAAAAATCCACGCCTCTTTGTTGTAGCCTTAAAAAAAATATTCTTTAAAAATCCACGCCTCTTTGTTGTAGCCTTAAAAAAATATTCTTTAAAAAATCCACGCCTTAGGTGGACCTTAAAAAAATATTCTTTAAAAAATCCACGCTTTAGGTGGACCCTTGAAAAAATATTCTTTAAAAAATATTTTTTATTAATTTTTTATCCTGCCCTGCAAATCACTGTCTTCATAAAACCCAGGGAATTAATTTCCCTGTGTTTTTCTGTCATTGGGAAAAAGGGGATGTTATACCCTAAAAATTCCCTCTTTCGAAGTCACGAAAGGCAGCGGGGGTTGTTGTTCGCTTGTTAATGAAACTACAACCCTTAGCGGGGTGTTCGTGACAAAAAAACCTGTAACTAAGAAAGCCGGCAAAAATACAACTACAACAACAACTACTTACAACTAAATAATGATAACAGAAAACATGACAAGAAAGCAAAGTAGCAAAACAAGGGAAGATATACCCAAATAGGAGAGGGTGGAAATGCGAAACACACGCCAAAAAGGAAAACCGAAATAGCGATAACGCCGATATGATGAAAACGATTTACGATAATAAGGGTGGTTGTTTGTTGGTCCGTCCTGACGTTCTGAATTCATATTGGGACTTTGTAGTTAGTTGTCAGTCGGACAGTTCAGTTAGCTGATAGTACGTGGAAGTAAAAGGAACCAAAAGATTCGAACCGGAGCAAGTGTTGCGGAATAGAAAAAAAATTAGATGTAGTTGTTATTTTTTTATCAGAAAAAATATTGAGGTGCACAAATACACTCACGCTTAAATGGAATATGTTTTGGTGTAAATAAATATTCGAAAAGAAATGAAAATTTTTAGAAAAAATGAAAATGTTTAGAAAACATTGAAAAAAATTATAAAAAAATATTTTAGTTAGAAAAAATTCTTATTGGAATTAATTTTTTGCATTTGTCTTGTTCCCGAAGCGGATAATAATTTTTGTTCGCCCCCAAATAACACACACATATGTTTGTATGTACATACATAATAGAAGAACAAGCATAAGAAATTATTAAGTAGAAAAAAATCTACGAAGAAAGAGAGGAAGAATACGAGGAGGAGAAGGAGCAGAAAACATAAGGTGGAAAAAAGTAAAACCGCGAAAAGCCACCCCGCACAGAACAACAGAAAAAAACCACTACCCGGTCTAACTTCACCAAGCACCCACAAAAACACCCCCCTCCTCCCAAACCGACCCCTCACAACATTCAATGACTCCAGCCATTCATTTCATTTATCGCCAATCCGGAAATTCTGTCTGAATGATTATCGTGTTGCTGTTATTCTTCAAATCCATTTGTCTCTACTGTCAACGTCTGGTTCTGCACATTCACGACCGATGGATAAATCCGAAAAACGTACGCCTCATTAAAGAAGCTGCCGAAGCGAAGGGATCGAAATTCCTTTTGGAAGATTATCGTCAATCCCGTAAATCGAAACGCCGTCGACATACCGGGGGATCCCATACCGCATCTGGTTATACACCCTCCACAGCTGCCTCCACCGTTCTCAGTTCCTTAGGCACCCGGGCAGAAAATTGTCGTTTTTGTGCCAACACTCCGCAGGGCTATTGTCGTCATCATTTCCATTTGCAGGAACTGCAGGTCCACAAACAACAACAATCAATTTGGTGTCCTCTAAGTGGTGGGCTGCTCAATCGTAGCGTGGAATACAAGCAATTGAGGAAAATCAAGCGTGAACTTAAAAGGACCCTACATCAGCAACAGAGATCGGCAGCCGCATCCGCAGCAGATCAGGCACCGGGCCCATTATATCATTCAATACCACAAGTGGATGCGGAGGAATCCATATATGCGGACATAGGTGACTTGAACTATTCACCATCTTTACAGGATTCGGGGTATCAAAGTATAACGCTAACAAATCAAAACTCAACACCCTCCACTCCGCCGTCAGCACAAGAAGAATATCAGGAAGTAAATCAAGCAGAATTATCAGAAGTTCCGTTACAAGCGTCCCAGGAATTTTTGGATTTACCCACACCAAGCGAGTCCTTGGTGGAAACCACCTACAGCTTTGGAACCTGTCCGGAAACACCACGAACACCATCACCCGCGCCCTCGCTGCCAAGGGTAACATCACAACAGAGTTTTGCATCCTGTAGCGGTTCATCAATATCGACAACTTATTTGTGAGAGGAAACCAATCAGGGTGAGTAAGAAGTTATATTTTGAATAATCCAATCCAAAGAATAATTTTCAAGGGTCCAACTAAGGCGTAGATTTTTTAAAGAATATTTTTTCAAGGGTCCAACTAAGGCGTGGATTTTTTAAAGAATATTTTTTCAAGGGTCCAACTAAGACGTGGATTTTTAAAGAATATGTTTTCAAGGGTCCAACAGAGGCGTGGATTTTTTAAAGAAGATTTTTTCAAGGGTCCACCTAAGGCGTGGATTTTTTAAAGAAGATTTTTTCAAGGGTCCACCTAAGGCGTGGATTTTTTAAAGAAGATTTTTTCAAGGGTACACCTAAGCCGTGCATTTTTTAAAGAAGATTTTTTCAAGGGTCCACCTAAGGCGTGGATTTTTTAAAGAAGATTTTTTCAAGGCTCCACCTAAGGCCTTGATTTTTTAAAGAAGATTTTTTCAAGGGTCCACCTAAGGCCTTGATTTTTTAAAGAATATTTTTCAAGGGTCCACCTAAGGCGTGGATTTTTTTTTAAAGAAGATTATTTCAAGGATCCACTTGAAAAAATATTCTTTAAAAAAAATCCACGCCATAGGCGAGCTAGAGAACCATAAGTGAGCTAGGGAACCATAGGTGTACTAGTGAACCATAGTTGAGCTAGGGAACCATAGATTAGGGATTTTAAGCTCAGATCTTCTGATGAGCCACATGTGAGCTAGTAAGCCATAGTAAGCTGGTAACCATATGTGTGGTAGAGAAACATAGGCGAACTAGAGAACCATAGGTGAGCTAGCTAGGGAGCCATAGGTGAGCTAGGCAACCAAACGTGAGCTGAGGAACCATAGGTGAGCTAGGGAAACATAGGTGAGCTAGGGAATCATAGATGAGCTAGTGAACCATAGGTGAGCTAGTGAGCCATAGGTGAGCTAGTGAGCCATAGGTGAGCTAGGGAACCATAGGTGAGCTTGGGAAGCATAGGTAAGCTAGGGAACCATAGATGAACTAGGGAACCATAGGTGAGCTAGGGAACCATAGGTGAGCTTGGGAAGCATAGGTAAGCTAGGGAACCATAGATGAACTAGGGAACCATAGGTGATCTAGTGAACCATAGCTGAATTAGTAAACTATAGGTGAGCTAGAGAATCACAGGTGAGCTAGTGAACCATACGTGAGCCACAGATGAGCTGTAGAACTAGTGAACCATAGATGAGCTAGTGATCAATAGGTGAGCCATAAAACAATAGGTGTACTATAGAACCCTAGATGAGCTATATAATCCGCTAGGCTTACTGCATATGCCTACGAGAAATAGTAATCGATGGAAAACCATTCTATAGTTCACCTCTGATGCACTAGTTTCATAAATTAACCAGGGTAAAAAAGGTAAATTAAGAACCATAATTGAACTAAAGAACTATAGATGATCTAAAGAACCATAGATGAACTGGCGAACCTTTTTTGAGCAATGGAAACACAGGAGTAATAGCAATGTCTGTGCAAAATTTCAAAGCTTATATATTGCGAGCTCTATAGTGATTTCAACATACTCCGCGTGTATGTTTAAATCACTATAGAGCATGGCAAAATAGATATAGAATTTTATTCTGACCAAGAATCTATATCCTTGAAAAAGTATGTTTTGAAACAGGCACGTATGGATAGTCCTTAAAAAATAGTTAAAATAGTCCTGAAAATATAGTTTTTTAAAAGATGCACGCCTGTGTTAGACCTTGAACAAAATAGTCTTTACAAATCCAAGTCTGGTCCTGGGAAAAAAAATAATCTTTAAAAATCCAAGTCCTTGGAAAAAAATATTCTTTAAAAATCCAAGCCTGGTAATCTTTAAATCTTTAATCTTTAAAAAATCCACGCCTGTTATAGACCTCAAAAAATATGTTTGAAAAAAGGCACGCCTGTGGTAGACCTTGAATAAAATATTCTTTAAAAGTCGAAGCCTGTTGTAGACTTGGTCCTTTGAAAAAGTAATATTTAAAAAATTCACGCAGGTTTTAAATCTCAAAAAATATTCTTTAAAAAATCCAATCCTTAAATGGACCTCGAACAATTATTTAGTCCTTTGAAAAAAAATATCCTTAGAATTAATTACTCACACAATACCCATTATGCCTTGTCCTTATTTTTTCCATTAATTTGTCAAATGAAATGTCGAGAATTTAAATGGAAATTCCTTTCAGCTCTTTGTAGTTCATACCGCAGCAAGGCTGCTTGGCTGGTTGGCTATCTGGTGCACAATGTGTTCCCAATTCGTGGCCATAAAAATTACACAACCAACAAATTGCAAAAGTCTATAATTTTGCTGTGTTTTTATTCTGCCTTTTAGGTTGCCTAACAAACACATCAGGAGAGGTGTGGAACAAGAGAATATATTGCCCTGCTGCCAAATCGAGGACAACGGCCTTCCTTGCATCGTTCCATATGGCCAACAAGTAAAACAGAACAGAACAGAATTGTTGGCAAACGAAAGTGTCCTAATTGACACTTGCAATTGTATGAAAGTGGAAAGGATAACATCACGGCAAACATTCTTCGAACAACGTCTACAACAACAACAAACATTTTTAAATCCAATCCAAAAATTGTTATATGAAAAACGGAAACTATTATTGCGAGAAGAAGTAGTAGTGGCAGGAAACCCCAACAAGAAAAAAAGGAAAAGGAAAGCTCCTTCTCACAACAAGCTATTGAGTAGGGCAACAACAATAACCAATTGATTAACCACTTATCAAAGGAGACGAATACGACAACAACAATGACATCAAGTGATAGCAGTAGTACCAGTACCAGCGGAGGTAGTGTCAGTGGTGGTGCTGGTGGGGGTGGCAATGTTTCCACCTGCTCCACCGCCACTTCACCCTACTTGTCATCATGCCGCTATCGCAAACGTTCGGTGCGTAGTAGCAACAGCAGCAACAACAACGGCAAAAAAGTCACCATACCTCTCGAACATGGTTGTGAAGATAATTGGACCTGGAGTCGGCGACATCGTTCCAAAGAAATTGTACTAATCGATCAAAATGATCGTACCGTATATTTTCATCCGAATTGGAGTAAAGGTACTGCGGGAGTTCAAGGTAAACGTCCCCTGAACAATGGTCGTTTCTATTGGGAACTGCATGTATCACAGCGTATTTTTGGCACCAGTATAATGTTCGGAATTGGTACACGAAAGGCACGGCTGCATGCGAATTCTTTTCGGAATCTATTGGGTGAAGATGAACACGGTTGGGGTCTGTCGCATAAAGGTGTCCTATGGCATAAGGGCGTAGCTCTAATGTATACGGACCCTTTCAAGGAGAATAAAGCCACCGTGGTGGGTATTCTATTCGACGGGATTGAGGGTACCCTGACCTATTACAAGGATGGCAAATGTTTGGGTGTGGCATTCCGCGGATTAGATAAGGTGAGTGGCAAAATATAATTCAATATTGAAGTAGAGGAAAATTGGGTGAGCTAAAGAACCATAGGTGAACTAGAAAGCCATTGCTGATTCAGGAAACCCTAGGAGAGCTGATAGACCATAGAAGGGCAAGGGAACCCCAGATGAGCTAAAGAAACTTAAGAGAGTTGGTAAACCATAGACGGGGAACTATGGGTGAGCTAGGTATCCCTAAAAAAGCTGGAGAACACTAGTACAGCTGGTGGAACCATAGGTGAATTAGGGATCCCAAGGCGAACTAGGGATTCCAAGGTGAGCTAGGGAGCCCAAGATGAACTAGAGAACCCAAGGTGAGCTAGGGAACCATATGTGAGCTGGAGAACCACATGTGAACTAAAGAACCTCACCAAAAGTTAACCTGGAGAACCATATCTGATGTAGAGAATCATATGTGAGCTAGAGTACCTTAGAAGAGCTGTAAACCATATAGGGCTAGGGAACAATTGGTGACCTAGGTAGCACAAGGAGAGCTGGAGAACCCTCGGCGAGCTAGATTATCCTAGGAAAGTTGGAGTCATATGTGAGCTACGAAACCATAAGTGAATTAGAGAACCATATGTGAACTAAAGAATCATATGTGAGCTAGGGAATCACAGGTGATCTAAAGAACCCTAGGTGAGCTAGATAAACATATGAGAGCTGGTAAACCATAGATTATAGATGAACTACATAACCAAATATGAGCTACGGAACCATAGGTGAACTAGAGAACCCTGGGTAAGCTAGGGAATTATTGTGAGCTAAGAAGCTCTAGATGAGCTAGAGATCCTTAAGTGGAGAACCATATGTGTCCTAGATAATCCTAGGTAAGCTTGAGAACCATAGGGTAACCAGAGAACCCTAGGCGATCTAGAGAACCCTAGAAGAGCTAATGAACTAGGGAAGCCAATGTGAGCTAGAGAACCATTGGTGGGCTGTAGAACCACATGTGAGCTTAAGAACCATTGTTGGACTAGGGAACCGTAAGTGAGCTAGAGAACCATAGGTGAGCTAGGGAACACAAAGTGACCTAGATAACCCAAGGTAAGCTAGAGGAGCATATGGTACCTAGAGAACCATAGATGAGCTAGAAAACTCTAGGTTAGCTAGAGAACCATAGATGAGCTAGAGAACCATAGGTGAGCTAGAGAACCATAGATGAGCTAGAGAACCATAGGTGAGCTAGAGAACCATAGGTGAGCTAGAGAACCATAGGTGAGCTAGGGAACACAAAGTGACCTAAATAACCCAAGGTAACCTAGAGAAACAAATAGTAGCTAGAGAACCATATGAGTGCTAGAAAAATATAGGTGAGCTTGGGAACCCTAAGTTAGCTACAGAATCATAAATGAACTAGGTAACTTATAGTGAGCTAGATAACCCAAGCTGAACTTGAGAACCATAGATGAACTAAAGAACCAGTGGTGAACTAGAAAACCTTAGACGAGCTAGATAACCATATTGAGGTAATGAACCATAGTTGAACAAGAGAAAGATAGGTGAGCTAGGGAACCATAGGTGAGCTAGAGATCCATAGATGAGTTAGGAATCTCTAGGAGAGTTAGAGAACCCCAGGTGTTCTAAGAAAACCACGGATGACCTGGAGAATATTAGGTGAATTTGAGAATCATAGGTGAACTTACGAATCATGTGCTAGCGAGTGAGCCATATGTGAGCTAGGTAATCACGGATGGACTAGGAAACTATAGGTTGGTTATATAACCATAGGTGAGCTAAAGAAGCCTAGGCGGGCAACAGAACCACAGGTGTGATAGAGAACCATAAGTGAGCTAGGGAAACAGAGGTGAGGTCTAGAACCCTAGATGAGTTTAGGAATCATATGTGAACTGGGAAGCCGTAGGTGAACTAAAACATCCGAGCTAGGGAACCAAAGGTGAGCTAGAAAACTTCTGGTGAGCTAGAGATCCATAAATGAGCAAAAATTTTAGAGGTGAACTTTGTTAACCTTATGTGATCTAAAGAATCAAAGGTCAGCAAGGAAACTCAGAGCGTGATAAGGCAACCTTAGGCAAGTTAGTTGGCCGTAGGTAAATATGGGGACCTAACATAAGTCAAGGAACCACTGATCAGGCGAGTTCGGCGACTAAACTATTAATAAAGTCGAAGGTAAGTCCACGATACATGAAGTAGGAAGTGAGTTAGAAACGTTTAGAAGTGTTAGGAAACCACAAATTAAGTACCGGACCATAGCGGAGGAAGCAAGGGATAGGTGAAGTCAGGTGAACCACTAGCTATAGAATATAAGTGAACTTGTGATAATTTTTATATTAGCTCATAATAATTTCCGTCCCTTCCTCTATTTTTCTCCTCACAGATCAAAGAACCCCTTTACCCCATTGTATGCTCAACGGCGGCCAAAACCGAAATGACCCTTAAGAATACACAAAGCGATATTGGTCGCCTACAAGATCGATGTCGTGCCGAAGTTATGAAACACATTAAATCACGAGATGATCTCAGTAAACTAAAATTACCATCGATTATAACGAACTATTTGAGTGAAGCCTATAACGATCATGTGCCACTGCGGCAAATCGATAATTACGATATGTTGTTTGATTTTTAAAAGCATGGCGGAGAGATCATCCTCACCATGGAGAAGCAAAGGTATTCCGCACGGAGTGTAATTTAAGCGAAAGGTATTTGCATAATTTCTTTAGTTTCATTTTTTCGGTTAAGAACTGTTCCATTAGCAATTACTTTAATAGAAATTAGAACCAAAACAAACAGACAAAAAACTGAAACTTTATTGGAAAAAAGCTTTCCAATAAAAAAATATAACCGTGAAGCTTGCAGTGCCATAGTAACTTAAATTTGACTAAAACAAAAAAAAAACTTAGTAAAGAGTTTTCAAATAACAAGAAAATAGTATATAATAAAAAATAACTATTTTTCATACGGTATATAAACCTTCGAAGAGGGACTTACCCCTAGTAAATCGATAATTCGTATTAAAGAACAAAACCAACATCTAATATTTCTTAAAAAAAAAACTAATATTCAAATTGTAAAAAAAAATATCCTAAAATTCTAGTCATTTTCGTTTTTGAATTTTTGAAAAAAATAAAATCTAGTCAAATAATTTCAAAATTCTTCTAAACCAAAAATTAAAGACAGGCCAACATGGTGCAATATTGTGATATAAATATTTTTAGTTTTATTTTTAATTATTATTTTTTATGTTATGTTAATTTTTTCGAATTGTGTTTATTTTCATGTTAATAAATTTGTTATTATTTATTATTATATTTTTTATTTAAAAATTTGAAATTTATGGGTTTCAATCTTCCTCGGAAAGTTTTTACAAACAAAAGTTGTGAATATCTGAAAAACCGAGCTACATAGCCCAGAGTTGAGTTTGAGATTCATAGTCGAACTACAGAACCATAGCTGAGCCAGGGTGGCTTAGGTGAGCTAGGGACACATAGATAAGTAAGGTTACCTTAGGTGAGGTAGGGACCATTAGTTCAACTAAGGAAACATGAATAGAGATGATCAATTTGCGAGCTGGGGGAAACTATAAGTGGGTAATAGATTAAGAACAGATATTTCAGTAAGCTTGAGAACCACATGGAACCGTATAGAAGCTAGAGAACTGTAGATAAGCTAAAAAACATAGATGAGGTGGCGAATCGTAGGTGAAAAAGAAAACCATTGGGACACCTAGGTGAGTTGGAGAAACTCAGGCGTTCTTTGAAAACCTCGTATGACTTGGAGAACCATAGGTGAGTTTGAGTAGCATAGATGAACTTACCACTGAAACATTGGAACCTCTAGGTGAGTTAGAGAAACTCAGGCGTTCTATGAAAACCTCAAATGGCCTGGAAAACCTTAGGTGAGCTTAAGTAGCATAGATGAACTTAGGTATGCTATATAACTTAATTTGTTACTCACAGATCTCAGAGGCAATTTGTGGAATTACTTTTGAAGCCAGGGAAATTCACGTGACCTTCTTTTAGCTAGGGAAAATATACATTCGATTAAGCAATAGGGAAGCCGTAAATATAGGTTAGGTTGAGTCATAACTGCTAAGTTCGGAAATTAAAAGTTGACCATTGAAACAAAGGTATGCTAATTCATAATATTTTCGATCCAGGGGACCCGAAGGAAATATAGGAAATCATGATGGACCTAAGCATCCATTGATCAGCGAGGGAATTATAGTGAACCAAGGAAACTAAGCTAATCTAGATAGGTACTGGAGGTATATGGAAACTTGGAAAGTCACAAAGCAGCTAGAAAACCTTAGATACGCCACGGAATGCTAGGAGTATTTGGGTTCCAAAAGTGAGCTGAGGAATTATAGGCGAGCTAGGAAACGAAAGTCGAGGTAAATGATCTAGGGGACTTTCGAAAACAACAGGTCAGTCAGAATATATTAGATTAGCCAGAATATATTAGCTGAGCCATGGAAACGTAGGAGACGAAGGGTCGCAAGTTTTAGTTGAGGACCATAGATTATATAAAGAAACTGCAGGCGGCCTTTGGACTCTCTGAGAACCGTAAACCTCCAAAATTTGGTTACTTATTTTTTCTTAAACTATTTAACCTGAATTAATTAAAGGACATTTAAGAGAGTTAAAGAAACTACGGATTCAGAGAGACGACAGATTATCTAAATTTAGAAGAGGTATATAATAAATTTGGCAGGTCACAGAATTCGAATAAATATACAGAACCCCGAAACAACCTATTGAAGTCGTAAGTGAGTTTGATAATCCTACAAAACCTGCAGAACCACAGGTGATCTAAGAAATTAAAGATCAAGCGACCATAGTTGATGTAGGAAACCTTAGATATTTAGGGTCTATAGATTCTTCTGGAGGAAAATTTACAACCCATGAAATCGTAGGAGAATTTGGGAAACCATAATTGTCATAGGAAAGCGCAAACAATCTTATATGTCGTAGGGGACATTAGCTAAGCTACCGAAAAATCTGATTTATCATAAAGAAGGCAGAAATGCATTAAGGAATCATAGCAGAACCAGTGGGCCAAAGATAAACAAGTGAATTATGGAGAAGCTACAAAATTGTTATTGGTCTTTTTTGAAATTGGGTATCAAGATTAGACAAAATGTAAAGTAGCGATCTGGTGATGAACCGGAAAACCTGAAAAGATTTAAAGAGACTAGAGAAACCACAGGTGAACGCATTTTTCTGCAGATCATGTACGAACCCTTAAGTATGCTACAATAAAACACGAGTGATCCAAGAACCTTCATTTCCTCGGCTCGAACTCGTGAGAATTCAAAAGGCATCTGGGATGGTTTAGCGACCTATGGAACAGGTGGCTTGGAATGTCGTTCGAATCGCACCTAAAAAAACCGAGTTTCGTTGTGGTCTCTGTAAACTAACGAGATCTGAAACAGTTGTTGGCCTCGATCGAAGGGGGTGATTTAGGGACGGTCTCCAGGGATCGAACAAATCCCATAAGTCTGCCAGTGGTTTGTAGGGATTCAAGGGACATCTGCTTAAGTTGTGAATTTAGATAACCCTGCATTCGATTTTCACTTGTATATCAGTGTTAAAACCGTGTTTCATAACGGACTTGACGCTAGCGGAAACGGATCTCGTATGATTGATGATTACGATTTCTTCGCAGTGATATAAATCGCCACAGTTTTGGGATCTCAGGTAGTCTTTTGAGATCGAACGGTTGCGAAAAATGACTCGTGAGAATTCTAAAGGCATCTGGGAGAACTTTACAGAATTTCAGGGCTCAAATAGGTACTGCCAGTGACTCAGGCGCTTTTAACGGACATCTGAATTGGTTAAGCGACCGACAAAACCGTGATCTCGCTCACTATAAGTGATTTCCGAAAACTCCAACAAAGATTGTGTTCGATACACACACAGTTTCGAACACAATCTTCTGATTGATTTTTCTTAGTGACCTTTTGAAATTCGGGGTACCAGAAAGAAGCTTCGAAAAGATGATGGCGGTAGCCATGAAACAGAGAGAGAAATCGTTGCAGGGTTTCCATACCTGATGATTTTCTGGGCTCTAACAGATACAGCGAGACGGTCAGAGACTCGTCCCGAAGGTTTGGGTAGCAGGGGTGTCAGTGCCCCTAGGTCTGCGAATCTAGCCTGGCAGTTGTTTTGTCGGCCCACGGAGAGCATCGTGCTGGAGGTGGTCTATACCCAAATTGCGGGTAGAGCTTTGGCTCGGTGTGGAGTTGCATTACACCCGAGTGGCTACGTATAGAAAGCCAGTAGTTTTAGATGGGCTCCGCTCCTGATCCAAGGATTTTTGTGTGAGCCCGTTGGTTGACGCTTTGTATTAACTGATGTTTAAAGCACCGGAAGGTATGTACCCACATACTGTAAGCATCTCTGTCAGAGACTCTTGGATATTCAAGAGTTTTTTTTTTGGATGGATGGCTTGGAAGCCACCTATGGATTATGTGGCTTGGAAAATGTTACTACGTTTACTGTTTGCTAGAACCTCACCTGGAGTTCAGTGTGAAAATTGGCTTTCTCGGTAATCTCTAGAAAGTCAACACGACGAAATTTCCACCCTCCTTAATTTTGATTCCAAGCACAGACATCAGTTTAAACCTTTAGTAAATCTACTCACCTGAAAATGTTGATATGAGGAAAGTTCAGGTATTTCTGAGGAGTTCATTTCGACTTCGTGTCAAGTTCAGATTTCAGGATGATTTTAAGAGAGCTTTGAAGAAAGGAAGAAAGAAAGGAAAATGTTTCCATTTTATTTATTCTGACGATAGATTAGTCGATTCGCTGAAAAATGTCTACCACTTAGTTTAGATCGGCCCTGCAAACACCACTAACAATTGATGTTACATATAGGTAGAAGATCTCCCACCATGTACTCACAATATTTTATTGTTCTGAGTTACGGATAAAATCTTCACCTCTAGAGGAATGATATATGCGTTCAATTTTCATTACATGGCGAACTTAGTTGCAATTTTTTTTTTATTTTATTATCTTTGAAATGTATTCTAGTTCCGATTTTTTATTTTCTATATTTTTTCATGTGTATATATATTTTTTATACGATAATAATATTAAAAATAATTATTTAATTATAATTTTTGCAAATGTAAATTATAAGAACGCTAAAAAGATGAGTGAATTCTAGTCATTTTAATAAAAAATAAGAGAAAAAACGCATAACATTTAAGTAGATCAATAAATAGAAACAACAACAAAAAACCAACTATGTATATGTATTTAATATTCTTTAAGATTTAAATTTAATAAAAAATAATAATAATTTAATAAAATTAAAAAAAAATATGTAATCGATATTTATTTCTATTATATAAACAAAATACTAGTTGTTAAATTCGAAAAAATAATAAAAAACAAACAACTCTTGTCGATGTAACAAATAAAAAAAATTAAATTTCAAATATATTTCAATAAAAAATATATAAAATATTATTTGGTTTTTTTCTCTGAAATGTTTTTTTTTCAGATAAGGTGGATAAGCTTGTTTTTTAAATGAATATTTTTTCGAGGGTCCACCTAAGGCGTGGATTTTTTAAGAATATTTCTTCAAGGGTCCACCTAAGGCGTGGATTTTTAAAGAATATTTTTTCAAGGTACCACCTAAGGCGTGGATTTTTAAAGAATTTTTTTCAAAGATCAGAATAGGCGCGGATTTTTTAAAGAATATTTTTTCAAGGTACCACCTAAGGCGTGGATTTTTTAAAGAATATTTTTTCAAGGGTCCACCTAAGGCGTGGATTTTTTAAAGAATATTTTTTCAAGGTACCACCTAAGGCGTGGATTTTTAAAGAATATTTTTTCAAGGTACCACCTAAGGCGTGGATTTTTAAAGAATATTTTTTCAAGGTACCACCTAAGGCGTGGATTTTTAAAGAATATTTTTTCAAGGTACCACCTAAGGCGTGGATTTTTAAAGAATATTTTTTCAAGGTACCACCTAAGGCGTGGATTTTTAAAAGAATTTGTTTCAAGGTACCACCTAAGGTGTGGATTTTTAAAAGAATATTTTTTCAAGGGTCCACCTAAGGCGTGGATTTTGAAAAGAATTTGTTTCAAGGTACCACCTAAGGTGTGGATTTTTAAAAGAATTTTTTTAAGGTACCACCTAAGGCGCGGATTTTTAAAAGAATATTTTTTCAAGGTACCACCTAAGGTGCGGATTTTTTAAAGAATATTTTTTCAAGGGTCCACCTAAGGCGTGGATTTTTAAAAGAATTTGTTTCAAGGTACCACCTAAGGTGTGGATTTTTAAAAGAATATTTTTTCAAGGGTCCACCTAAGGCGTGGATTTTTAAAAGAATTTGTTTCAAGGTACCACCTAAGGCGTGGATTTTTTAAAGAATATTTTTCAAGGGTTCACCTAAGGCGTGGATTTTTTAAAGAATATTTTTTCAAGGGTCCACCTAAGGCGTGGATTTTTTAAAGAATATTTTTTCAAGGGTCCACCTAAGGCGTGGATTTTTTAAAGAATATTTTTTCAAGGGTCCACCTAAGGCGTGGATTTTTTAAAGAATATTTTTCAAGGGTTCACCTAAGGCGTGGATTTTTTAAAGAATATTTTTTCAAGGGTCCACCTAAGGCGTGGATATTTTAAAGAATATTTTTCAAGGGTTCACCTAAGGCGTGGATTTTTCAAAGAAATTTTTTTTTTTTGAAAGACTCCCTTCAGCTCGTCTATGAAAGACTCCCTTCAGCTCGTCTATGAAAGACTCCCTTCAGCTCGTCTATGAAAGACTCCCTTCAGCTCGTCTATGAAAGACTCCCTTCAGCTCGTCTATGAAAGACTCCCTTCAGCTCGTCTATGAAAGACTCCCTTCAGCTCGTCTATGAAAGACTCCCTTCAGCTCGTCTATGAAAGACTCCCTTCAGCTCGTCTATGAAAGACTCCCTTCAGCTCGTCTATGAAAGACTCCCTTCAGCTCGTCTATGAAAGACTCCCTTCAGCTCGTTTATGAAAGACTCCCTTCACCTCGTCTATGAAAGACTCCCTTCAGCTCGTCTATGAAAGACTCCCTTCAGCTCGTCTATGAAAGTCTCCCTTCAGCTCGTCTATGAAAGACTCCCTTCAGCTCGTCTATGAAAGACTCCCTTCAGCTCGTCTATGAAAGACTCCCTTCAGCTCGTCTATGAAAGACTCCTTTCAGCTCGTCAATGAAAGTCTCCCTTCATCTCGTCAAAGAAAGACTTCATGCTTCATTTCGTCTATATATTCTCCCTGCATAAGCTTGTCGATATCCCAAACACATTTTCTTTTAGGTTGTCTCATAAAAATATAAGTTTTTATTTTTATTTCTTATGTTAAAAAAATAAAATTAAAATGTATACATAAATAAAAAATGTAAAAAAAATATATTTGTATAGCACGGTCAACTTAAAAGCTAATAGGAGGTATTATTCGAAAGAAAAATAAAATAAAAAAGCCATAAAATATTTTATAAAAAATAAAATAATTGAGACTATTAATTAATGAGGTGGTGGTGCGTGGCATATCAAAATAAATATGATACGTATGCATGTAGTAGTAAATATAAATATTTAGAATCTCCAGCTGCTCGACACTGTTCTCCTGCTTTACAATTCATCCGCCAAATGGTGAATATTTTGTAAATGATCACCATAATCGGTGGCCTCGCTGCCCACAAATGTGTCATAGTTATTTAGAATTTCCAAATACGATAGACGATCGTCGTGATCATCATCGGTAGCGGCAAACAAATGATCCACCTCATCGGTGGCCACAACATCGTTGCTGGGTACAATCCAACTAAGTACTTCACTGCCCGACAGCACACCATCACTATTTGTGTCATAGTCCTTATCGAAATGTTCCTTTTCGGTGATCAACCATTCCTTGTCATGATGATCGGCTGTTTCTCCGACATATTCTTTGAAATCAATTTTACCATCACCATTGGTGTCCTTATCACGCATGGTGTGTTCCAATACCAGCGGCAACATTTGTGGATGTTCTTCGGGGTTTTGGAAGAGTACAAATTCCTCGGGATTTAACATGCCATCCTTATTTAAATCGGCTGCTTGGAACATTTCCTTGTCGTCTTTAATCATTTTCTGTTCCTCATCATAGCTATCGAAATCGATCAATTCCTTTTTGTAGTTTTCATCTTCCATGGCATAGACATCTTGAAGGTATTCTTTCCACGTCACCTGATTGTCATTGTCCTGATCGATTTCTTCAAAACGATCGGCTGCTTCTTCTTCGGCAAGTTTCCTAGATTAGGGGTTAAATAATTTGCAATTGAAAGGAGGGGAAATTTTTTATTAGTTTTTGTTTTGCTTTGTATTTTGGTATGGAAAATTTGAAACATTTTGCTGCAGTAACAATGAGAGGATGATCATGATGATTTAATTTTTTAATGAATGATGGATGATTAGTTTTATTAGGCACTTGCATATATTTTTGGGTCCAATTTGTTCTTTGTTAATTTTATGGTTTAATTTGATTTTTTTACTTTGGAAAACTGGATCCCACAAAGTAACTGAAAACTTTTCACTTTATTTATCTCACTTTATAAATAAATAGCCTTTCAAGGATTTTTTAAAGAATATTTTTTCAAGGGTCCAACAAAGGCGTGGATTTTTTAAATAACATTTTTTCATGGCCCACCACAAGCATGGATTTTTAAAATAATATTTTTTCAGGGCTCTAACCAAGGCGTGGATTTTTTAAAGAATATTTTTTTTTGTAGAGTCCAACATAGGCGTGGATTTTTTAAAGAATATTTTCAAGTCCTATCCAAAGCGTTGATTTTTTAATGAATATTTTTCAAGTCCTATCCAAGGCGTGGATTATTTTCAGAATACTTTTCAAGGCCTATCCAAGGTGTGGATTATTTTCAGAATACTTTTCAAGTCCTATCCAAGGCGTGGATTATTTTCAGAATACTTTTCAAGGCCTATCCAAGGCTTGGATTATTTTCAGAATACTTTTCAAGGCCTATCCAAGGCGTGGATTATTTTCAGAATACTTTTCAAGTCCTATCCAAGCGTGGATTATTTTCAGAATACTTTTCAAGGCCTAACCATGGCGTGGATTATTTTCAGAATGCTTTTCAAGGCCTATCCAAGGTGTGGATTATTTGCAGAATACTTATCAAGGCCTATCTAAGGCGTGGATTATTTTCAGAATACTTTTCAAGGCCTATCCAAGGCGTGGATTATTTTCAGAATACTTTTCAAGGCCTATCCAAGGCGTGGATTATTTTCAGAACACTTTTCAAGGCCTATCCAACGCGTGGATTATTTTCAGAATACTTTTCAATGCCTATCCAAGGCGTGGATTATTTTCAGAATACTTTTCAAGGCCTTTCCAAGGCGTATATTACTTTCAGAATACTTTTCAAGGCCGATCCAAGGTGTGGATTATTTGCAGAATACTTATCAGGGCCTATTTAAGGCGTGGATTATTTTCAGAATATTTTTCAAGGCCTATCCAAGGCGTGGATTATTTTCAGAATACCTTTCAAGGCCTATCCAAGGCGTGGATTATTTTCAGAATACTTTTCAAGGCCTATCCAAGGCGTGGATTATTTTCAGAATACTTTTCAAGGCCTATCCAAGGCGTGGATTATTTTCAGAATACTTTTCAAGGCCTATCCAAGGCGTGGATTATTTTCAGAATACTTTTCAAGGCCTATCCAAGGAGTGGATTATTTTCAGAATACTTTTCAAGGCCTATCCAAGGCGTGGATTATTTTCAGAATACTTGTCAAGGCCTATCCAATGCGTGGATTATTTTCAGAATACCTTTCAAGGCCTATCCAAGGCGTGGATTTTCAGAACACTTTTCAAGGCCTATCCAAGGCGTGGATTATTTTCAGAATACTTTTCAAGGCCTATCCAAGGTGTGGATTATTTTCAGAATACTTTTCAAGGCCTATCCAAGGCGTGGATTATTTTCAGAATACTTTTCAAGGCCTATCCAAGTTGTGGATTATTTTCAGCATACCTTTCAAGGTCTATCCAAGGTGTGGATTATTTTCATAATACTTTTCAAGGCCTACGCCAGGAGTGGATTTTAAAGGTCTATGAAATAATCCCAGGTTTGCATCATCTATGAAAGTTTCCTTCAGTTAGTGTTTAAAGATTCCCTTCAGTTAGTGTTTAAAGATTCTCTTCAGCTCGTCTATAAAGACTCCTTTTGGCTTGTCTACAAAAACTCCATTCCCCACGTCCCTTCAGTTCGTCAATGAAAGACTCCCTTCAGCTCGTCTATGAAAGAATCCCTTCAACTCGTCTATTGAAAACTCCCTTCAGCTCGTTTATAAAATACTACCTTTAGCTCGTTCAACTCCTCAATCCATGCTTCAGACTTTTTTTTACTACCTTCAGCTGGTCTATAAAGACTCCCTTCAGCTCGTCTATAAAAACTCCCTTCAGCTCGTCTATAAAGACTCCCTTCAGCTCGCCTATGAAAAACTCCATTCAGCTCGTCTACAAAAGACTCCATTCATCTCGTATATAAAAACCCCCTTCAACTCGTCGATAGACTCCTCTCAGCACGTCTGTAAACACTCCCTTCAGCACCTTTATAAAACATTTTTCATCTCCTCTGATCTTCATTAATAGAATATTAATACGTCGCCTGTTTAGTTTATACATTTTCAAGTGTTTGCATAAATTAAACTCACTTGTGAACAATATCCCGCCAAAATTTTGTGAACTGAATCGTTTTATATGCCTCATCATCACCACTTGATACAGTTCACTGAACATACGATTTCCTAATAGCACGTTTAACACAATTTATACGAATCATAACGCAAAACAAAAATACGATATCATCTACAACACTAAATTTACACAGAATCTTTTGGAGGTGTTTGACCTTTTGTAGAGATATTTGGCCGGTCAGATTCAAATTAATTTTGAATTTTTATGTTAATTTCAAGTGTGTGCGCTATGACTCCTACTTCGGCTATTAGCTTTAAATGTTATGTTTAAGCATGAAACGATTTTAATAAGCTGAAATGTTTGCTGCTAAGCCCTAGCCCTAAGAAACCAATTTGTCGATCTGATCGTACACGCTGCTAATGGCAGATACGCTAAGGTTGGGTATAAAAGAAGCATTATTAGAGCACAAACATAATAATAACTCACTTAAAAGACCTTAAAATCCATGCTTTCAGCTCATGACGTTCAATGTACTCATCATTATTTAAATCCATGAGACGTATTAATATGGCCAGACGTTTTTTCGATTCCTCCGGCGAGAGGGTATCAAATTCTTGGGCTTCTTTGACATTACCTGTTAAAGAAAGAAATAATATTTTTTTAGATTTTTTTATGGGATACAAATTTAAAATTCCTTTACTCACCTATGATAGCCTCATGATCAAATTCCACATTGTGTTCACCATTCTCATGATGATGGGCATCTCTGGCCTGATATACACCATCCTTTAGCCTTTCTTTGCTGGTGTGTTTTTCATGTTTATGAGGTGCAATACCCGCATATGTTGGCATAGTACTGACCATTAAAATGAAGGCTGTGCAACACAGCACCAGGCAAAATTTGGACATTGTGATGTTTTTGTGTGTATTTTACAAATGTGGGTTAACTAAAGTGCGTGTAATTGGTTGGTTGTTCCACTTGAAATATTTGATTCTGTTTTGATGTTTTTTTTTCTTCTTCTATTTTACAATGTACTGCTGGCTGCGTTATATTGTTGGCAATCGGTACAAAAGACTGTCGGGCTGGGCAATGTGTTTTATATCTTTCTTTTTGATATGCAAATAAAATTATTGAAATAATTGTTGGCTTGTATCTGTTTCGTCTGCTTCGTTTGCACAGCTGTTTTCGTTTGGCCTTATTAGTTGGAAAACATATTTATTTTTGGGGTTTACTATTTGGTCATCTGTTTGCGGGTTTCACGTCACATAACAATGAATTATTAGCTTGACACAATTTTCAGCCGTTCTATATTTACAATTAGTCTCAAGAGTCAATACTTTTTTTGTTTCGTAGCCGCAGTAGCAGCATCAGCTAATACCGGTATTTCTGTTTTATCTTCTTCTACTACACCACCAACCACCATCAATGATGTTGACCACAAGAACTGTGTTGGCCGACTGAAATGAAAATTCGAAAATGATGAAAACATCTTCTCTCAATACTAGAGGTGTGTGTACGTGTGTGTGTGTGTATGTTTGTATAGATGTGAATGAATTTTTGGAAGCTGTACAAATGTTTTGTTTATTTTGTGTGTTTTTTGTTTATATTATTCTTTTCTTTATTTTATCCACGTCAGGTTTTTTGGCTGTCGCGTGCGTGTTTTTTTTTTAAGAAATTTGTCATAGGCTACTACCAAAACTCCAAAGATGTGAACTTATGTGACCATTGTGTGCTCACCTCAATCTCGATGTAGGAGAATAGAAGAAGGTAGTGTTTCATAGACGTGCTGAAGGCATTCTTTCATAGACGAGCTGAAGAGAGTCTTTCATAGAAGAGTTGAAGGAAAGTCTTTCATAGACGAGTTGAAGGGAGTCTATAGACCAGCTAAAGGTAGTCTTTTATAAAAGAGCTGAAGGGAGTCTTTCATAGATGAGTTGAAGGGAGTCTTCCATAGACGAGTTGAAGGGTTTTATAGACGAGCTGATGGAAGTCTTTCATAGACGAGTTGAAGGGAGTCTATAGACCAGCTAAAGGTAGTCTTTTATAAAAGAGCTGAAGGGAGTCTTTCATAGATGAGTTGAAGGGAGTCTTCCATAGACGAGTTGAAGGGTTTTATAGACGAGCTGATGGAAGTCTTTCATAGACGAGCTGAAGGGAGTCTTTCATAGACGAGCTGAAGGGAGTCTTTCATAGACGAGCTGAAGGGAGTCTTTCATAGACGAGCTGAAGGGAGTCTTTCATAGACGAGCTGAAACAGGGAATCTTTGGTAGACAAGCTGAAGCTGGGAGTCTTTGACAGAAGAGTTGAAGAAATAATAAAAGTCTTTCATAGATGAGCTGAAGGGAGTATTTCACAGATGAGCTGAAGGGAGTCTTTCAAAGGCAAGATGAAGTTGAGGAGAGTCTTTATGGACGAAGGGAGGGGCCTGCTGAAGAGTCCAGCTTAAGGGAGTCTTTCATAGACGAGCTAAAGCTGGGAGTCTGAAGGGTATCTTTATAGGCGACTTGAAAACAGTTTTATAGACTTTAATAAACGAGATGACGGGAGTCTTCATAGACGAGCTGAAGCGATTCTTCACGGACGAAGCAGGGAATCTTTCATAGACGACATGAATGGAGTCCTCAAGTATGATCTGATGTGAGTCTTTACAGCCAACATGAACGGGATTTTTATAGAAGCTCTGAAGTGGGGAGTTTTTCAGAGATGAGTTGAAAGAAACCTTTATAGCTGGCTGTGCTACGTCTTACACACAAACAAAATCGGCTAAACATCCGATCATTTTTCTAAAAAATGCAGATTTAATTCTTTAAATACTATATTAACATCTCTTACCTTTGATCATCCAAAACAATATGGAATATGCAATATGGAATTTAAGGTGGTGTTAAGGGGCTAATTTCCGCCTTTTTTGTGAATCGCTCCATAAATGCCGAATTTATAAGAATAGGAATTTCGGAACTTCAGAGGTTCATATCTGGGGAAGTATGGATTTCCCCCATGATATCCGTGATGAGCCCCTAAACTGAATTTGCTTTATAATATGTTTTGTATAAGGACTCTTCAGAGGTTTTGTCAAAATCAAAAAACATCAAATCCCATCGCCTTAAAAAGTCCCTTAATTTCAAGACATTACTACCGACTTTTAGAGCATCAATTTGTCAACTTCTATTCCCAGGCACAAGTTGAACACACAAACCAAAAGAGCATCAATTCATTAGTAAACATCTTTGTTATCCAATGATGGAAGAAGCATCTAAACACCCACAATTGCCGACAACAAAATTCATTCATTCAGTGAAAAATGAAACATACACACACACTCGTTACTATTCCATATGTTTGGTTGAAAAGAACTTACCTTTTATCCTAAGGAAAACTATTTATCCTTTTTTATCGCCTAATAAGGCAATGTTGTGTTATAGAAGTTACCAGAACTATAAGGGTTTTTATTTAAACCAAAATTCACAGGAAATTTGTTTTTTCGTAATTCACAGCAAGCGCACTAAAACAATTTTTTCTTTAAACTGACTGACAGCTGAAAGTGATGCCAATGCCTTAGGGCAGTTCACACGTAGTTGTTGAATTAGTGGTAGACGTAATGTAGAGTGTGAGAATAAGAGAATTAGTGAAGGCGCAAAGCTATATTCATATAATAGTACGTTTACATTTAACCGGATTTCGTTAACCCAGTGGGTTTCAATTGAACCTGGGTTTCCTGAACCTCCAAGAATGTACAATTTTTTACTACAATAACATTTTTTCCATTATGATATTGAATAAAATAGTAAAAATTAGTAGATTTTTGAAGTACGGGAACAGACCACATGTCCACATGAAACCGCATTTTTCAGTCTCGGTATTTTATTTCGTATAAATTACAGCCTTCTAGTATTCTAGAGCAAATAAAATCAAAATTATAGTTTATAGTTCAATAGCAATATCCTCGCCCATTCACATAAATGGAATATGTATTACATCCCATGATGTCTACTCCGAATCCGGGTCTTTACACTTCCCTGCTTATCAGAATCGCATTTTACTGAATTTAGTTGCTCTAGAATACTAAAAGGCTGTCACATGATGAAGAAGAAGTTGTGTAAGCTATTTGAACAGATAGTATAAATACCACTCCGTTTCGATAGGTGAATATAAATCAACACCATTGAATACTTGAAATTAGTAAGGGCGATTATCCTACAGAAGCTAGGCAAGATCAATCGTAGAAGACCATCAACAGACTTGGAAAGTCAACTATATATTTGGGCGCCAGTCATAAGTGAAACTCAGAAGGAATGAGTCAAAAAGTCGTGAAACAAATTTATTAAATATCATGTCTATATATCCATTGGAGCCCAATTTTTCAGTCTCGGTATTTTATTTCGTATAAATTACCAGTGAAAATATAATTCAATAGCAATGTCTTCGATCAGTCACATAAAAAAATGGAAGATGTTTTACATCCCGGTATGTCTGTTCAGCATCATTGCTCTGCTCAGTTTGACAAAGCCGCATTTTACAGATTTCAGGTGCTCTAGAATCCTGGAAGGAAAGTTTGAAACATGATGTAGGAGGAGTTGTGTGAGCTATGTTCACAGATTATATAAGGACCACTCAGTTTCGACAGCTGAATCTAACCTAACTACCCAGAATACTTCAAATTAGGGAGGGTGACTCCCCTACAGAAGACAGGTAAGTTGAATCGTACAAGACCACCACCTTATGAAAATCAATTATATGTTTGGGCGCCAGTCATTAATGAAATACCGAAAGAATGAGTCAAAAACTCCTGGAGTTAAACAGAGAATCCCCAATGATACGTACTATTTAACTTGTACCTTTCTGATATTCCAAAGTTAACGGTCGGCTTAAAGCTCGTAGTGCATGATAATGATTGTTGGATAATTGCAGAAAGCTAATTTTCGGTCCACTTCATCCCGATATTAGTATCTGATCATCATCGAAATTATAGGCGTTATACTTAACATTACCTGGATCCTCATGGAAAATTTCAAAGCGATTAGCGCTATATTTTCGCCCTCTTGTGTGATAATGGGTCTCTAAATAACATATGAATACGTAAACACCTGTAAATATTTAAGTGTATCCCCCACATCCGAGTACATACGACAATATAATTGCTATCAATTTAAAGGTCAACCACACCTCTTGGATATGCTATCAACTTCTCGGGTCTATGTCCTTCAGGGGCAAATATATACGGTATAAAATACAAATTTTGTCATTTTTCACACAAAAGTCAGATTCCATTTGACCGGCTAAATATTGACCGATCGTCATCAAAACAGGCATACTTATTCTTTTGGGCCGATCCCCTTCTCCATGTAAAAATTCGCGACCAGAAAATCAGACAAGAATAAAATTTTTGGTCCATTTCATCTCCTAAATATTAACCGATTTTTACCAAAAATTATAAGGGGTCTTCGTTGGCCAGAACCCATCCTAGTCCTTGAATTAATATTCTTTACAAATTCACGCCCCTTCTGGTAGTCCTTCAAAAATATTCGTGAAAAATCTACACTTCTAAAAGTCCGTAAAAAAATATTTGTTAAAAATTTACTCTTCTGAAAATCCATAAAAAATTTCTTTAAAAAATCTACTCTTCAGGAAGACCGTAAAAAAGTGTATTTAAACAAATCTCACCTCCGGTCCTTGAAAACAATCTTTAAAAAATTCACGTTTCTGGTAGTTCTTGAAAAATATTGTTAAAAAATTCACGCTTCTGGTAGTCCTTGAAAATATTCTTTAGTAGTCCTTTAAAAATATTCTTTAACAAATACACGCCTCATGTAGACCCTTGCAAAATTTCTTTAAACATCCACGCCTCATGTAGACCCTTGCAAAATTTCTTTAAACATCCACGCCTCATGTTGACCCTTGCAAATTTCTTTAAAAAAT